CAGCGTGGTATGTACCAGCTTGTCGCCCAGTGCCGGCAGATCCCTGTACTCATCGGGTGGCTCTGGATTAGGGAATCTGTTGACAGCATCCTCGTACTTCTCCCGGTTCGCTTTCAAGAAGCGTCCGTTTCGTGTGTCCAGACATGGTGCCTCCATGAAATACGCATAAACCTCCGGATTGATCAGCGTACGCGTCATCACTTTGCGCATTATCTCGCCCATGTTATTCAGATCGATCAGCATGTTGGCGAACTCCTCGCACGAATACGAGGTCATCGCATGCACCTGCAGTGAGGTGTCGCTGTGCTCGCGGAAATGCTGCAGCAGGCGGAACAGCAGCTTGGGCATAATGGCCTCGGCCACCGCCAACAGATTATTGGGCACCGGATCTCGGTTGACCCGGTTATTGATGCCATGATCGCTGCAGAAGCCCTCCGCCTTCATTACCGAGGTATCGCCACAATCGCAGGCACCACCCGCCTGCGACAGGAACATATTGAAGTCGTGGTTCGTGTGGTTGCCCTTCTTGAAGCAATCCCGGCATATGGACATGCAGGGCGAGATGCCGCAGGTGCGGCACCTGTAGGCCACCACATGGGGCACCCAGACCAGTCCGCACTTGGCGTGGTTGTCATAGCTGCGCACTGCAAAATACAATTCAAACATTAAAATAAAATTCAGCCATTCTCTAAGGATATAAAAACCAAACAAACAGATGTAAAATGTTTACATACACGCCCCCCATTTTTAAATAGGGAGCAAGGACATCAAATACATCGACTTCAGAGCTCACAAATTACCACGTTTAACCAACTGGTACATTCACAAGCCCATAAAAAGTTAAAACTTTACTATGTATTTATCTTTCAAAAGAAGACCCTGGGCCAACTATTGATTTTCTTAAATTTGACGTGTCATTGGGATACTGAATACGGAAAATTGGCACAAAGTAAATCAAAAATTCAGTGCAATTTATATAAACGATTTCCAGTAGTTATAATAGCTTTGTAATTCGAAGAAATATCATTATCTTTAATTAAACCTTATTATCATTGACATCCATATTTTGCAACTTTTAAAATTACTCATCTTTCTTTGTAAGGTTGCGCCCTTAAAATTTCCAATCTAAGTGTAAAAATAGTTGTTCAAACATAAAAAGATTAAATGATTATGATTAAATGTATAACATTCTTCAAGAAGTAAATGCTTATAGCTTTTCAAAAGATAATCGTGTAAGGTACATTTATTAAGTATACCTGGAAACATTTGTAATGCGAGTAAAATAATATAGATAGCAAAGATGTTTGCTTTTTTAATATTTTTCTATGTATTCAGGGAGTGCAGATTTTATGTGATCAAGAGATTTTTTACTAACTAAATATTAGAGGCTTTAACCGACATTATTTACAAAGCCTACTCCTTGACTTCCCATGCAATGGTATCGAAATAATCGATCGATTCCAAATCTTTTTTCCACCTCTGAACAAAAATCGATAGATTATCGATGCCGAAATTGCGTGATGAGGTGAAATCGAGAAACCTGTCGAGGCCAGCTGTTTTGGTTTTACCTTGCTATTCCTATTGATTTGATTGAGTTCCAAAAATAAAATGATGCACTCATGGCTTAGTTAATTTCGCTTGTTGCGTGACTCTTAGCTTTTTTGTCTTCGGGCTGCGTTCTGGGGCATATGTTCATTCATACATATACAAAAGTATTTCGCATTTTGTATTTCGTTTGGACCTTGTTGGCTAAAAAGGTCAGCGTTGTCGACCGCCGCATGCGGAAGGAAATCAATTGGCCAATAACAACGGCAGTGCAGCGGAAAGTTGATTGACAATATTGTAAATTTGTAAATGGCGATCGATCGACAGACAAGTTGGCAACTCTCTCGCTCTCTTCCCCCGCCCCATCCATCCGTCTCTCTCTAACTGAGAACTTTTTGGACAAGGTCCACCTGAGGAAACGAGGGAGAGGGGCTGAGGTGCGGAGACACCCACACACGCACAGCTCCACAACATAACGGTCTTTCGCTCAATTGCCGATGACAGCTTACAGTGGGCTACATCACACACTTAACCGACCCCCGCACCCACTGTGCGTGTTTTTGTCAAATCAACAACAATGACGGTCAATCAACTTTTGCCGCCCCAGTGCAATTTTGCAATTGTTCTGCTCTGTTCTGTGCTGTGCTGCACTTTGTTGCAACAGAGTTACAAAAAAAAAAGAAATAAGAGGAGCACTTAGCGGTAACAAAAGGTGCCAGCATATAAACAAGCCCCAACGGCATTGGTGTGCGTATGTTTTTGGGACGGATGCTGCGGAAACATTTATTACGCAAGGCGAACCGAACCGAACAGCTGACAAACAAGGTGCAAGTTGCATTCCACTGTGCGTGTGCGTCTGTCTCGCTCGTGTGTGTGTGTGTTTGTGTAAGAGAGCTGACAAGTGGGAAGTGGGACAGGCAACCATAAACGATAAAAGCAACTTTGGCGACATACGCAGCCTGGCACAAAAAATAAGTAATCATAAAAAATTATGCACAAATACAGCATTGCAAGTAGATGAGCAGTTGAGATTAAATTGGGCTAAAGTTGACTCCCCTAATCAGTGCAAATGTGTATGTGTGCGAGTGAGTGCGCTTGATTGCTGTTGCCATGGTGGTGCACTCGCACTCTTCACGCTGCCTTGCACCTTGCTGTTATGCTCTCCCTCTTTACCCTTCGCCTTGCGTGCCCTACAACAATTACAAACACACACAGACTCAGGTATCTGACAGGTAACTCACACACACACACACACACACATACACACTGGCAGAGTTTCAGGGGCAACGGACTTGCGATCAGCTGTTTGGCGATAGGAAATGCAATGCAAACACATTTATCGATAGGCATACACATTGCACATTTGGAATTTAGACGTACCAATTTTAACAAACTCCTGCGGCGTCCTTCCTCCGGCAATGAGCCATCGAATCCACTCGATGTTGTCCAGATTGTCGATGGGCGTGCCCGGATTGAACAGGGTGTCCATTATGGAGTCGAGATCGGGCGTGGGGCTGCCACGGCAGCACTCCGTGTTGATCAGGGCGGCCACCTCCTTGCGACTGCGCAGGCTGAAGGAGGAGGCGCCGAAGAAGAAGCTCGGCTTGGCGCCGGAATCGCCGGAGGAGGCAGTGCCCGCTCCACCTCCTCCTCCTCCGGCTGCAGCTGATGGTCCAGATCCCGAACTAGAGCCCGAGCCCGCTGCAGTTGCTCCCCTGGGCGGTGGCGGCGGAGGAGCGGCTGCCGCCACACTGGAATCCCAGTCGTGGAATGGGGAATGCGAGTTATCGGCGGTGGCTGCAGCTGCGGTGGTTCCGCCTGCTCCTCCTGCCACTGATGATGAGCCTGCGCCGAGGCGAATTGATGGCATTGCCGTGATTATGGGTGGCAGGACATAGACCGAGGAGAGATCCACATCGGAGGACTCGTCCTCGTCCACATCATCCTGATCCTGCTGCATGGCCGCATCGTTGGCGCGCTGCTCCACCACCACCGCCGCCTCCTCGTCATCGATGCTGATGTCGGCATTGGACAGGTTGTCATCCTCGTCCATAGTGAAATGGTGGCGTATCTTTTGGTGACGTCGCCGGTGCTCCGATCCGGTGCTCCGTCCCTAGCACGCTGAAATTCTTGAGCTCCAAACTCAGCCGCTGCCGCTGTTGCTGCTGGTCTTTTTCTTTCGGTTCGGCCTTTTTCAAACAAGTTTTCTTTTCGTCTTTTTTTTCGGCTGCTGCTGCTTCTTCTTCACTGCGTGATTTTTTTCTTTTTTTTTATTGTTTGGCTAGTGGCCGAATTTTATTTTTCTTATATTTTTGTTGTTTATGGCGGAGTTGCGTTCAATTGAAAATTTTGGACAGATTGATTGAGGAGGGATTACGATTGGAGGACTGGGAGGGGGTTTTGGTTTGGTTTTCGGATTTACGCTTAGAGAGATGGAGACGGAAAATTTCACAACACCAAACACTTGACTCAGTGGAGCCGCTTCGACATCTCAGCAGAGCTCCGTTCCTGCTTTTGATTTGTGATTTCTAAAATCGGATTTCTGATTTCTGACTTCTGACGTTCTACACTTCTGCTCTTTGACGTGCCCAACCGACCTGCTGTGGTGCGGTGGCTATGGGGCTATATCCCCATGGTCCTTATCCGTATCCGGATCGAGAGGAGTTCTTTGGCCGCCCTTTCCGTTTCGGTGCCCGTTCCTTTTCCCCGTTTTCCCGATTTCGCTCACTTTTCACGCTGTTTCATCCGCGAGACTTGCAAATATACGAATATACGCACACATACTCGTCGCGGCCGCACACGCACACACACACGGACTCGACACCACACACACACGGGCACGCACACTGACAAGTGTGGCCAAATATATTAGTCGAGCATTGAACTTGCCAATTACGCTGATTTTTGCATATTATTTGCTGTTTGGAGGACCTCTTGGCCAGCTAGTTAGTTCCTTTGGTGCATGGGCAGCCCTTTAACCGCTGCCTTTGCACTCGCGAATGCTTTTAATCCTGCCAATTTCGATTTGCTCCACGAATATCCACACACGGTCCGTTCGCGTGTATGTGTATATGAATTAGCGCTGGGCCAACCACTTGCGATAGTATCGATATATCGAACAGTTGGGCCTTTCGATAGCCAACGATAGCGCTTTACGCAAATCCGTCGGAATTTTTGAACATTTGTTCTCTGTAAATCACTCTATATAAATTGTGTTCTATAAATATGTACCACGTATACTATAGTTTTGAACAGAGGCAATAATTTCCACTTAAAAATACATTATTTCCTTTTAATTTGAGAATTTGTAACCAGGGAATATTAAATGCGACTTTTATCGATATTTAACCAGCTTTGCGAATACCCATTGATAGCAGCGCGAATGTTGTGTTGCCACTGGTCAAAAACAAACACCTGCGAAGCGGGGCAACCCAAAACAAGCCGTTTCCACTGCATTTTCATTTTTTATTTCTACATTTATGCTGTATTTCATAGTATAAAAAAATAACGCAGCGTCAGAACCGGGTGGCGAACATTTTTACAGACGACGACCACGGCGACCGCCCTTCCTGCGGGTGGAGTCCGATGGGATGGGGGTCACATCCTCGATGCGGCCGATCTTCATAGACGAACGGGCCAGAGCACGCAGAGCGGACTGGGCACCGGGTCCGGGGGTCTTGGTCTTGTTGCCGCCGGTGGCGCGCAGCTTGATGTTCAGAGCGGTGATTCCCAGCAGCTTGCACTTCTCAGCCACGTCCTGGAGGGGATTAAGCAGGGTTATCAAGGGGGTTTTCAAGGCATAAACCAAGGATCTCACCTGGGCGGCCAACATAGCGGCGTAGGGCGAAGCCTCATCACGATCGGCCTTCACCTTCATGCCTCCGGTGACACGGGCGATGGTCTCACGGCCGGACAGATCCGTAACGTGGACGAAGGTGTCGTTGAAGCTGGCGTAGATGTGGGCCACTCCGAAGACGATCTCTCCGTCGCGAACCTGGGGTCCCAGCTGGACCTGGACCTCCTCCTTCTGAACTTTAGCCTTCCTGGGTGCCATTCTGCAAGGTCTGCTCGTCGATCAGCAACTAAAAAGGGCACGAAAAACATCATTATCAATTGCCGGCTCAAGTCACTCACAAAAACAACAACACAAAACAGCGAAACACAAAGTAACTGAGTTGCATCCACACCGTGCCAGCTTATTTTTTCAATTTAAATTTATTAATTTCATAAAGATTTTTTTCCACTAGCCGAGGCATCTTGGCGTTTTTGCCGCTCAATTCGCAAATTGCAATAAAATCACAAAAAAAGGGGGGAGAAAATAGCAAACGAACCAATTGCGTGAACCGGATACGAAAAAAGAAAGCAAAAACAACACAGCTGGTGAGGCGATAGTTATCGGTGGCAGGGCTGCTTTCGCGGTGCTATCGGGCTGCCACTGGGCGAGTCGGCGCGGAAGGGTGGCAACTCTGCCACCTTAAACCGACAATTTTTGTAAACATTTCGCCAAAAACCTTGATAAATCTATTGCGAAAACAATTACAGACCCCGAAAACCAAACAATAAGCACGCACAAATGTCTTGTAATCATTTACATCATATTTTCCTGGTTTATTACAGTGCACCTATGCACACAAACAGAATAACTTTCTTATCGCATACACAAATGCAGTATTTCGACCAAAACAGGTATTCCTGCTCTCCAGATTTCGCCATTTACAGACGACGACCACGGCGACCGCCCTTCCTGCGAGTGGAGTCCGATGGGATTGGGGTCACATCCTCGATGCGGCCGATCTTCATGGACGAACGGGCCAGAGCACGCAGAGCGGACTGAGCGCCGGGTCCGGGGGTCTTGGTCTTGTTGCCACCGGTGGCACGCAGCTTGATGTGCAGGGCGGTGATGCCTAGGGTCTTGCACTTCTCGGCCACATCCTGGTGGGGATTCAAACCGTTAGAGGGGCTCCAACTGGACTGGACAAGCAGAAGCGCAAGCCGCAACTCACCTGGGCAGCCAACATAGCGGCGTAGGGCGAAGCCTCATCACGATCGGCCTTGACCTTCATGCCTCCGGTGACACGGGCGATGGTCTCACGACCGGACAGATCCGTAACGTGGACGAAGGTGTCGTTGAAGCTGGCGTAGATGTGGGCCACTCCGAAGACGATCTCGCCGTCGCGAACCTGGGGTCCCAGCTGGACCTGCACTTCCTCCTTCTGAACTTTAGCCTTCCTGGGTGCCATTCTGGGTTTGTTTGTCGATCAGCAACTGCGGGAATAGCAAGGGAATGGAATGCACATTTTTAGCCACTCTGCCGTTTCACAAACAAAAACAAATGCATGCGCACAAACAAAACAAAAAACGTAAAAAAAATAAGCTGCCGGGCAGCTTTTCAATGGTTTTCAGCCGGCCCTTTGAACACTCTTGAGGGGAACACATTTTTAGGGTCTCAAAAGGGCTCAAAGTCGGGTTTTTTAACAAAAAATTGAGGGGCAAAATTTTAGGACGAACCACTTGCGTGAACCGGATATCAAAAAAGAAGGCTGTCGTAGCTGTCAAAATGACAGGGTTGCTGAGTTCGTGAAAATGTGGCGATAGTTGATCGATACTTAATCGAGCGGGGTTTCAAACCTTTTTAGATTTTGAAATGGGTTGCAGTTTTTTACTGGTTTAGCACAATTTTAATTTCATTTATATTATAAACTTAGTTTATTGCATTCGATTAGGCCACGTCAGCATGATAGACTACATATAAAATGGCTTTATGCCGTGTTTAGGCATACTTATTTTAAGGGTTCGAGTTCTCGCTAAAAACGTATCGATAGTTGGTGTCTATGTCACCCTGAGGTAAGAGTCTTTGGTTTACTTATCGAATGGTTTGTGTCCATGCTTGTCATAAATCGAATGGTTTATTTCTGGATTTACATACTTAGTGGAAACGGTCACACTGGCTTAATAGAGATGTGCTACCACCGATAATACCCGTTTCGATAGGCGAGCGCTCGGCGGTGTGACAGCTCTAATCACAAGACACCCAAAAAATAAATAAATATATCCAATATTATATCCACCGAAGCGAGGCAATCGCGGAAAACTCAAGGGCCATGTCGTGGGTCTCCGACTACAAGTACACCTGGGCGGAGCAGCTTGCGATGCGGACGCTGCGCGCCTGTGGTCATATTCCGAACCACGTAGCTTTTGTGATGGACGGCAATCGGCGGTTCGCCCGCTCGCAGCAGATTGATAAGATAGAGGGCCATTCGCGGGGATTCGAGAAGCTGGCGGACTGCCTGCGCTGGTGCCTCGACGCGGGTGTCCGCGAGGTGACCACCTTCGCCTTCAGCATCGAGAACTTTAAGCGCTCCAACGAAGAGGTTGAGGGTCTGTTCAATCTGGCCAGAGAGAAGTTCGCCCGCCTGCTGGAGGAGACTACCCGACTAAACGAGCATGGCATTCGCATCCGTGTGATTGGGAACATCGAACTGTTGCCTCTCGATCTGCAGAAGCTGGTGGCCTCGGCTATGCTGAGCACAGAGCGCAATGACAAGCTCTTCCTGAACGTGGCCTTTGCCTACACATCGCGTGACGAGATCACGCAGGCCGTGGAGACGGTTCTGCGGCACGGAAGCCAGGATCTGGCCGCCGAGGACATCAGCGAACGGCTGCTGGAGGAGTGCCTTTACACGCGACACTCGCCGCCACCGGATCTGGTGTTCCGCACCTCCGGCGAGACCAGGCTGAGCGACTTCATGATGTGGCAGGTGCGTGGAAGTTGGGGAACCCTTTTAGACACCTCAAAGCCTTAGTTACCTATAGTATTTGTTTCTATGAGCAGTATCATTTATTAGCAATTCTTCTTTGAACTCTGATTGCACTCTTTTGTTTTGTTCCTAATGAAATGCGTAGTGCACAAGCTTTGAGCTTTGATCATCATTGAAAAATGCCTTTATAAGTACTTCGAACCTATTAAGCTCTACTAAGCCTTAATAGTAAAGAAAATAATGATTTCATATAGGTATTGACTGGTGAAATTGCGCCTTCATAGTTAAGCAAATAGGGCCTTATGTTATAGAACTCTAAAATACTAAACAGCCGTTTTATACCTTTCAGCTAAGCACCTCCGTGCTGTACTTCAGCAACGTCCTTTGGCCGCAGATCACCTTCTGGCACTTCCTGGCCAGCCTTCTGGCCTACCAACGCGACCGCTGGCAGCTGGAGGACTTCCGGCGGACGGAGAGGATGCACAGCTATCAACTGGCCAAGACGAGCGACTTCTACAGCGAGCGGGTGCAGAAGTTCCTCGCCACCATTGACGAGGACCGGCGGAAACTGCTGGTCCGACTGGCCGCCAACTAACGTCCGTAACTCCCTCCGATTTCAGCATGTCGATATTTGTGATATGACTGGGAAATAAATCCGTGTAAATAACACTCATATATGTACGTACAGCTGCAAATGACTTGCAGCCTCCTTAAAAACCCTACGGGTTTCACATGTCCATATGTGTTCCGTTGGAGATTTCTTCACTTAAATGCACTTGTTTAAGACATTCAACTGATTTGTAGCCGAAATGTGCGCTTACCTAGATTATTTGCAATATTCAGTTTTAAAATAAGTACCATAAAGTGTTTGCCTTTCGTTTGGTTATGAAAAAGATAAACAAATTGTTCGAATTTACTGGGGAAATATGGGAATTTCTATAAAATTTTTAATATTTTTTTAATGGTGGACATTTATTATGACGCTTGTATAAATTCAACAAAATGTTTAATTCAATTCAAAAACAAATTATTACAATATTTTCTGTAAAAACACCAAAATTGTTTAATTTTAAGAAAGTTATTAGGTACATCTTTTGGCCCCAATGTTTAGAAATGCTAAACTTATTTGTTATCAATTTTTGACAATATTTAACAATAGATAGCGAAAAAGCAGAAACATTTTTTAATGATTAAACATTTTAGCTAAAAAAGTAAATATTTTGAATTTGTATATGGACAATGTCCATTGGACTCTATTCAGACTGTTTTGAGCAGCTTGCTTCAATTGCTATAGATCCCCATCACTTTAAGAAAGATTTATTTTTTGACAAATTTTTTCATTTTTTGTAAGAGGGTGGCTCGAGAGGGGTAAGGGGGTAGCAGATTTTGTTCAAAAATACTAATTTTTTAGTGGGTTTTCAGTCGCACCGACTGTTTTGATGGTTTGTTACAAATGCTATTGATCCCTATCACTTTATTTTTTGACCAATTTTTTCATTTTTTATAAGGGGGTTTTTATAATTTGAAAAATTTTCGACTTTTTAAATATTGGGGTACCAAGCTTGCTACATATGCCAACGAATAGGGATCGTCTTCATCTTAAAATTTAATTAATTTTAACCTCAATGAAATATTACCAACCAATTACCAATAATAAAAATAGACAATTTACCTTAATTTGAAAATTATTTCGAACATTTTCATTTATATATAAAAAAGAAAGTAAATAAAAGAAAAGAAAAGCATTCAATAATATGAACATTTTTAAACTAGGGCGGGCAACTACGTTACAATATGGTCACCCAAAATTCATTGCGTGCGGAGTGGCAACGCCCTGCTGTTTTCTGGTATTTTTTCGGATTTGTGCAGGACTGTCTTACCAAAACCGATAACGATAGGCGCTGAGTGGGACCTTTTCCCACTGGCTCTTTTGTTGTTGTATTGTTGTTGGTATTTTTATACCAATTATTGGTGCGAAAAGCAGACGGATAAAGAAGAAAACAGAACAGAACGGCAATTGGAAACGAAACGAAATGTGAACGCGGCCTCTCACAACAACAAAAGAATAGTTGCAGCAACGACTCGCGTGTGTGTGTTGCTACATGTGAAGAGCAAAGAGGAGATCTAACCTAACACAAGATTAATTCAATAATTAAGAAATTAACGGTTAGTTTCTCGCGGCGAAGGCGGCGGCAGTAGCGAATTAATTGCAAATAATTACCTCTCAGCGAAAAGGTGAGCAGAGCCAGAGCCGAGCAAAAAGAGAAGAGAAGGCGTGTGAGCGTGACGAAGAGCAGAGAGCGAGAGAGCGAAAGGGAACGGATCGAAAGAAAAGGAAAGGCAGGGAAAAATCGAAGAATCTTGGACAGCCGAAAACCAAACTGGCTGGGGAGCAAATGTCAAATTGCGGCGCATAAATACATTAATTTGAAGCCCCCCGCACAAGTCAGGCTCCTCCAAATTTACACACTCACACACACACACACACACTAGGCAGCAGTTGTCGCAACAGGAAAAAAAAGGTGAGTTTTGTGTGGAAGTCGAGGCGTGAAAATGCAGTGCATTTTTTTTTTAAGTTTCCCCATGTGTGTGCGTGCTCTCCCTCCATCTCGCTCTCTCTCTCTCCGCGTCTCGTGTGCATTGGCGATGCTGTATTGATTTTTTCGGTGGTGGCTAGTGGGTGGGTGGTGGAACCGGAGCCGCCCCTCTCTTTGCCCATCAAACCCATACCCTCCGCCCCCCTCCTAAGCAACCCCCTGCCCCATGAGCACAAGTCAGAAGCGTTTCTCTATTTATATTTACACTCGCGAGCGGCGGAATAGTGTGAGAGCGAGAGCAAGAGAGCGCTAAACAGTTACAAAAGTGCAAAGTCTGTGTGTGTGCATGAGTGTGTGTGGTTGCGAGGTGTATCCATTCGACTTTGCTGATCTTTTGTTCATTTCTTGACAGGATTCAGCACACGATGTATGCCGGAGCATATGCACCCAACGCCGGCGGCGTTCAACAGCACACGGGCGGCGGTTACTATGGCAACGGTGCCGCCGCAAGCGCTGGCAGCGGCGGCAATGGTGCCCCACGCCACGAGCGACCCTACTATCCGCGCAGTAATTTCGCCGGAGCAGCCGGCGGAGCGACCATCAACGGGGCAGCCGGTGCCGCGGGGAGCATGCACTTTGGCCAGCCCTACGGCGTGATGACCTATGGTATCCAGAATGGCCTGGGCATGGGCGCCGCTGGAGCCGGTGGCGGTAATCCGTATCGCCAACAAAATGGTGTCGCCTTCGCCGGAAACGGCCTTGGAGGCGGTGGTGCCGGTAACGGTTCCGGCGGAGCTGGCGGCTATGGCGGACCGCGTGGCAAGAATCCCAATTACGCACAACGCTACCAGAAGCCGCACAATGGTGGCGGAGGAGGTGGTGGCTACCAGAGCAATAACTACAATGCTGCTGCCCTGGGCATGCTCTCCAAGGAGGAGCGTGCCGAGATCCAACGTGAGAAGGCCAAGAATCCCGGTCGCAATCTTGTCAAACCCGTGTGGGAGAATCTGGAGCCCTTCCACAAGGACTTCTACAATATACATCCCAATACGCTGGCCAAGACGGAGCAGCAGGTGGCCGATATACGCCGTGAACTGGAGATAACCGTTTCGGGCAGCGAACTGCCCCATCCGGTGGTCAGTTTCGAGGAGAGCTCGCTGCCCAATCACGTCATCGAGGAGATGAAGCGCCAGGGATTCACCAAGCCCACGGCCATCCAGTCGCAGGGCTGGCCCATCGCCCTGAGTGGCCGCGATCTGGTGGGCATTGCCCAGACCGGTTCCGGCAAGACGCTGGCCTACATGCTGCCGGCCATTGTGCACATTGGCAACCAGCCGCCCATATTGCGCGGCGAAGGACCCATTGCCCTGGTGCTAGCCCCCACCCGGGAGCTGGCCCAGCAAATCCAGTCGGTCGTGCGCGACTATGGACATCTGTGCAAGCCCGAGATCCGTCACACTTGCATCTTTGGCGGCTCATCGAAGGTGCCGCAGGCACGCGATCTCGATCGCGGTGTCGAGGTGATCATCGCCACACCAGGACGACTGATCGATTTCCTCGAGAATCGCAACACCAACTTGCAGCGCTGCACCTATCTGGTGCTGGACGAGGCCGATCGCATGCTGGACATGGGCTTCGAGCCTCAGATCCGCAAGATCATTGAGCAGATTCGTCCCGACCGTCAGGTCGTCATGTGGTCCGCCACCTGGCCCAAGGAGGTGCAGGCCCTGGCCGGCGATTTCCTCAACGATTATATTCAAATCAACATTGGCTCGATGAACCTATCGGCCAACCACAACATCCGCCAGATCGTCGAGATCTGCACCGAGATGGAGAAGCCGCAGCGCATGGTGCGTCTGCTCAAGGAGATCGCGCCGACCAACAATTCGGCAAACAGTGGCAACAAGATCATCATCTTTGTGGAGACCAAGATTAAGGTGAGTTTTTCAAAGAATTATAGGTTATCTAATGTCAAATGTCGTTGTGCCCCCTCTCCATTTACTGCAAACTAATGCCACAAGCTATACCAAGTATTCTTGAATTTCTTGATTATACATAACTATTATGTGCGGAATTTCCCTTGTAAACATCTAGTATTCCGCCATTTGTTTAAAGTATTCAAATAGTATTAAATGGCAACTGGCGAAGGGAATATGTTTATGTGAAACAAGAACGCATGTCTTAAATTGCAAGCTTCAAAGGTCCCCCTACTAATTCCTCTTGTTTCCCTTGCCCTTATCAGGTGGAGGACATCCTCCAGATCATCCGTACCGAGGGCTACACTGCCACCTCAATTCACGGCGACAAGACGCAGAATGAGCGTGATTCTGTGCTGAAGGACTTCCGTAACGGCAAGTCCAACATTCTGATCGCCACCGATGTGGCCTCACGCGGTCTCGACGTCGAGGATCTGCAGTACGTGATCAACTATGATTATCCCAACTCCTCGGAGAACTATGTGCACCGCATCGGTCGCACTGGACGCTGCCAGCAGCTGGGCACTGCCTACACTTTCTTTACGCCCGATAATGCCAAGCAGGCGCGCGAGCTGATCTCTGTGCTCGAAGAGGCAGGCCAGACGCCATCGCAGGCCCTCCTGGATCTGGCCCGCTCGATGCCCAGCTCGGGCGGCTATCGCGGCAACAAGCGCTGGAACAACAATGGCGGCGGCGATCGCAATTCGGGCGGTCACAATGGCGTCTATCAGCAGCGCAACAGCAACCCGCTGAATTACCAGGCGGGCAATAGCTACAACAACAATCGCGGTGGCCTGCCCACTGGCAGTGGCGGCTATCAGCAGTATGCCGCTGGCGGCAATAGCTATCAGCAGAATGGAGGTGGCGGCGGCGGTAGCGGCAACTGGAACCGCATGAACCAAATGGGACAGGATGGCCAGCAGCAACGCAATGGCAATACCTATCGCCCGAGGGCTCCATTCAACAATGGCGGGCCACGTGCCATAATGGGTCACCAGGGTGGCGGCGGAGGAGCAGGTGGTGTGGGCGGCGCTGTCGGCGTAGGCGGTGGCCCCCAGCCGCATATGGCACCCCAGCAAGGTGGCCAGTACATGCCGCAGGCCTATCGCAGTCGTGGCCAGTTTGTGCCACAGGGAGCGGGTGCCGGTGGCATGCCGCCGAGATTCCAGCAGTATCCCAAGCGGGAGTACCAGCAGCAGGGCGTGGCCCACTACGGCCAGCAGGCTGTGCAGCATCAGCAGCAACAGCAGCAGCAGGTACAGCAGACTGGCCAACAGCCCAAGCCGCCCAAGGATGATGGCAGCAAGTATGCCCAAGCGCCGCCACCGGCAGCTGTGACCACATCGCTGGTCCATTACACGCCGGCCAATTCGCCACCTATTGCCGCCGTAATTGCGGGCACCAATCCGTATGCCAATCAGTTCAGCATGCCGGCCACCTACTATGCCGCCCAGCATCACCAGTTTGCCCCGGCCGTCGCAGGACCTGGACCAGGACCTGGCCAGGCCATCGAGCAGGCAGGACACCAATAAGAGGGCGTGGAAAAACGGATTGTGGATCGTGGAGAGCTACAACAGCAACAACAACAACAACAGCTTTAGCAACAACAACAACATCAGAAACAACAACACCAACGACATGGACAAACAAACACCATCAGACCAAAACCACACAGTCATGAAATCGAAATGCATATGAGAAATGAATGAAAGAAAGGATATAAGTTGCCAGCATATAAGAGCGCAGTTACTCTTATGAATTCTAAGCGAAAAAGTTGCCTTTTTCACTTTCGTTTTTTATTTCTCCCCACTCACTACCATTATTAGCATTTTTTTTTGTATTCTCTTTGGCTCATTCAAGCATTCGCAGTTTGTGTTTGCGACACAATTTGACCTCCAATTTCCCCCTCGACCTTTCATTCGTTACTGTTCTTTGGGCAAACAGCCGCAAACATCAATAACCAGGGGTGAGTTGAGCTCGAATTATTTGGATAACAACTAGTTTTTAATGGACTTTTCTCTTCCACACAGCCATCGCAAGGATCATCGCCCTCGAAATATAACCCCCCATTTATGTTTTCCACAACAAGGTAAAACGAAACAAAAAACAAGAACACCTCGAACGTGAAAAATTATCGTAGTTTTTAAGCTTTTTCAACACACAAACACAAACACTGACAGTTGCATGTTCTTCGAATGTTTAAAAAGAATTATTAAGTAGGGTTATTATTATTTCTTTTCCGCCAAGCAAAATCAAGCGAAATTAAAACTAGAGACACACACACACAGACACTGTTAATTAAGCGATATATACAAATATTCATGTGTATTAATTTTACACGATGCTAGGAACACAAAACAAAAAGAAAAAAAACAAGCACGCAACCAAAAAAACAAAAATTTTGAATTCGAAAATTGTCAAAATAAGGGATTGCAAGAACCCCTTTTTCACTAACTTGGTTGGTATGAAATGAACGGTTTGCTTATAATAACACACATTTAAATACATGTTTAATTATTTTATACACATATATCCGAGCGAAATTTGCAACAAACAATTACAACAAAGGGAAAACTGACTAAATTCTACACAAATTCCATTTAAGAAAACGCAGCTAACGGTTGAGATATATGTATATGTACATCTGTATTTTGGCCAAATCCAAAATAGGAAAAAAAAAGGAAAAGGGCAGCGCTGCTTTGGTAGGAAGTATGTAAAAGAAAAGCTAACAAAAAAAAACAACAATCGATAATAATAAAACAATTGAAGCAATGGGAGAACACTCACACAGCCACAAAGAACCCACACAAGCACACGCACACACCCACACCGAGACACACACACACAAACACACACACCACGAACACCACAAGGACAAGCAAATTTAAAGTTATCATTTAATTTCCCATTTTGATACATATGTATATGTGTGTATTCTATATATATATATGTATATATATAGCTTGATTTTTAATGGAGATTAAAACAAAAACTCATTTTGTTTAAGACACTTGATAGAATTCGATAATAATCCCCCTAACACAACATTCGCATAAATTAACGAGGTTTTTTCAAAAGTTCTATGCAAATACTTGAAAAAAAATTATACAATTACATTTTCAATTATTCCAAGACCAAAGAACAGAAGCAGTTGAAAAAAGAAGAAAGTAAGAAAGCGAAGAAAAAAGAAAAGACGCCACATTCATCCATAAAAACAAGTAAAGCGAACACGAAACAAGAGGATTAGAAGGAGGAACACAAAACATGGGTAGAAGATCGAGATCGAATAATGCCAAGCAATGCCACACGAAAATAATGATAATAATAATACAGCAAACATAATGCATACTTCTGACTATTCCAAAAAAAAAGCTCTCTTCCGTTTCCCCATATGTTTATTTTTTTTTTTTTGTTCTACTATCATTTCTCCAAATTGCCCTATGACTTTCTCCTCTTCCCTTCGAATGCCAGAGTTCAGTACGAGTAAATAGGTAGTAGTAACGAAACACTAATTGGCAGCTCCAGTTACATATAGTTAGCAGTAATATATCCAAAAATCGTCTGTCCAAGCCGTTGTCCAAGTTGTTGCAAGCAGTGCAAGTTGTCCTCCGCCATGGGAACAAGCAGTACAAAAAGACTAAGAATTTTGGAAGACGTAACGGACACAAGGGAATATTCTACAGAGGAAAAATGTGTGAGAACCACTCAGCAAATAGATGAAAATCATGTAGATTATATTTATAAATATATATTTGTTAGCCGATCGGGGGGAGTGAAAGGAACACTTCTAATCAATTTTTTTTTATTAGTTTTCTACGTGTACGGTTTCCTTTTTAGCAAATAAAAGTCTGGGAAAACAAGAGGGAATATTTATATATGGTATATCGTCAACACAAGGATCTCTTTTTAAAGCAAAAGGGCATGACTCGACTTTTTTATATAGACCTATAATTCATAGAAAAGTTCATTTCATTTTTGGGTATCTCGGGGTTTTTCATTTCTTTCATACATTTTTAAAAAAATCATTGGAGACGGGAACGAGGGAACTACAACTAAATAATGTTATTTTTTGTATGTACTCTAGGCGTATACGCAATGTTACCAAGTGAATTAACGTTCTTATTTTTATAATTTCCTACTTCTTAATTATGATTTCGATGCAACCGAATTGTGATGATGTGATAGACTTATATAAACAAACGAAAATACAAAAATACTAATTAATAACCAATTTAAATGAAGTAAACGCAGCGCCCCCAAAAAGGCCAGGCCAAAATAACTGAAACTGAAGCAGAGGCAGCTGAAACTGAAGCTGAATCTGAGTCGAAATCAGTATCTGAATCAGAAGAGGACTATGATATATGTTATGTATTTGTATTATTGTCGTTGTCGTTGTCGCTTATAGACAATGTCTGATGGCTACAATATAATGTATTATGGATGACTTGAGGCATACATTCTTTTTTTGAAGAAATAAAACTATAGAGCGCGATATTTGTATTGTATTTATCTATAAGTTGTTGTGTACACACTGCGAAAAACAAACAAACCAAACAAACTAAAAAAAAAGCAAAAAAACACGGAAACACACACAAAATCAAAACAAAACGAAAAAAACGAGAAAAAAAGAGCAAAAGAAGTTGAAACTGATAAAATTTAAGAGTAACTGAAACCGAAAGCCCCGAAAAACTGAAGGGGAAGTCGGAGAATTCGTTGTCCCCTTCGCACTTTTGAGGCAAGTCCTTCGTTTAAGTCCTGATCGATCGCTCTATCTCTGTCTCTCTCTCCTATCCCTATCTCTCAGACCCCCCCGCCCCACCCCCTATACGATATATTTCTCGCTCGCAGTCTCTTCTTAAAACGATAGATTTAAAAACGATAGAAATTCGCATATACATATATTTTTGAAAGTATAGAATTGCAACTTTTGAAAAAATGCAACCAAAAATAAAGACGAAAGACTAAAGCCAAAAACAAAATGAATTCAATTGTTTGAAGCAAGAACAAGAGAATAACGGTGAATGCGCAACGAAGTGCCGTTATTTCGATAGTTTGTATAGCCGTTTCTTTTCCGTTTCGTTTACTTAGAGAACTAAAAATCGTTTACACACACACCAACACACCCACACACATACGCGTTTTTGGTTTAGTTATTGTTTTTGCGTTTGTTTTAATTTTTGATTTGTTTCGTTTTAAGCTTTTCGTTGGTAAACCAAAAGATATATGTGTATGTATGGGCATACATGTATCGATGTCGATAAAGTCGATAAAGTGAATGCATTTACCGTTACAGTGCGACGCGCACAAGTGCCAAAAATGCAGCAAAAAATACCCGCACACACCCACGCACTCTCACACCACACACAACAAACACAGACACACAGAGACACATCGAAGACACCCACACACAAATTTCTTATAGATGATACAACAAACACAAACGAACATATAACATATATACAGTGGACAAAAGGAGTTATGAGCTGACTTTTTGGCGTTCGCACATCCTGCGTTGCCCACTGTACATACAAGACCTACAAAACAAGCATACTTTTAAGCGCCAAAGTTAGGAGCGGCTTTTGAGGGTTCTAAAATAAAAACGAAATAAGAAACCATTAAACACCAGACTTGTTGGGCAAAAAACATTTAGCAGCAGCAGCAGAGCCAGTTCGTATGTTATAAGCTAAATTTGCCTTCGGCAGACGGAACTAACTTAAAAATAATAAAATGTTTAAACCAAAACCCATTGTGATAACAGCTGCGTAAACGAAACACGTTAGAACCTTACTTGTATTTCGATTGCAATTCGATAAAACGATAAAACGGGGATCCCCCACTAAGTCCTAAATAATACAAATTCAATCAAAAGCAAGCAAGCCAACAATTTATCCAAACTAGTTTTTAAACGAATACAAAACTCACCCAGCCGCACATACACACGTATTTTACTGATTTGAAAAGGAGGAGATCTATTCTTGATTTTCATTTGTTGTGTTGATCAATGCAAATTTTAGCGAAAAAAAGAAAAAAATACAAAACCAAGAAATACACAGGAAACACGAATGCAAATTCTTAGCCATTTCGAAGGAGCGTGCATTTAGAACATTACATCAAATAATATTTACACTTGCATATATTCAAAGCAAACCATTTGAATGAATTCTAAATATTACTATAGATCACTAACACAAAATGCAACTGAGGAGTCAGTCGATAAACATATGCATACAAGTTAATGCAATTAATGAACGAGGAGCCAAGCAAACGCGTTTGAATGTATGTTTGCAGCTTAAGCTAAGTTAGCACACACAATATTATATTAATTATAACAAAACGATATAGGTATGCAGTATAATGCATATATTTATAGTGCACCGCCTCCCCTTAATTCCGTCGCAAAACAAAAGAAAATCGGGACGGAAGAGGGGCTAAAACTAACGGAGAAATCTAAATTGTAATCAATTTACCTATCTTATATTAGGTTATACGTACCCATAAACATAACCCCGTCCTCATCTTGAAATTGGACAACCTTCCCTTCCCAAAATGTTAAACACGAAAACGTAAAAAAAAAATGCATAAATATGAAATATGTAACGGAAATCTTTACAAAAAGCGAAATAGATATCTTCTATATAATAAATAAACGCCAACAAAAATCACTTTTAAATTGAAGTATTTTTCTCTCATGTTTTGGGTGCTTCGAATTATAAGTTTCTATTATTTTAGGTAAATCCTAAAGCCAAATGGAGTGGTAGGTATGTATACTTGCCAACCTGGAACTCGGAGTTCAGCAGGCGAAGGAGGTTTCTATCAAAAACGTAGAGAATGTCATCGCAATAAAACGCGAATTCTTCAGCAGAGAAAACGTTAGAAATGTGCTAATTTATTAACACGATTTGTACATAGAAACTAAATGGGAATTTGGATTTCACAAAAAAAACAATATCAAAATGACTAAAATGTTCCCATTTTTAACGTAAGGATATAAAAACCGCGAATTCTTCAGACGAGGAAACGTTAAAGATGTCCTAATCTATTAACACGAGTACAAAGAAAACACTATATCTTAGGATTTCACAAAATTAAAATCACTTAATCACATAAACAACATTAAAGCGAATAAATTCTCCAATTATTCTCTGAATACAGTGAACAGGAAGTAAAAACACGCTCGCTTCGAATCACATTTCCCATAATACTTCTTTATTGAAACGCCCACACATTCCGATCGCCAGTTGTCCAGATCGAAAGTGCGACTGCGTGTGTATAAGTATAGGAGCAGCCTCCCCGACTGTCTATGTAGATCCGCCGGAAAGGCGATAACAAACCCCACAACATCAATAGGTAGCGAAGAGTCAATCTCGGACCTTCGGAACAGATAAAAGAACATCATGGTAAACATAGAACACAGTACAGCAGTAGCCACATGGGTTAAGATCGTAATTTGTATTGGTAATAATAACATCCAGATATCCAAAGCGTAGACATATACAGACAGGACCCAAAGATCCGCAGACGAGTAAACATTGGGTTAGCGGGCTTACATAACTGGCAACTGGCCTTCCTATTCATACAGTATAGTATATAGTATATAAAATTAACTAATTCATTTATAAAAAGCAATCATCAAACTCCAAGCCGCGCCGCTCCCAAGCAGTTTGTTTGGTTGTAGTTTGTTTGTTGGTGTTATCGTGTTATCCTTTGTGTTTCTTTGTTTGTCTTTGATTTTCATCATCTGGTGTTTTCTGTGGTTCCTTGAGAGGATTGGAGCGTGGTGGTGTGGTGGGGGAATGAGATGTGGTTGGCCGCGCCTAGGTGAAGCTGCAGCAGGAGTTTGTCTTTTTCGCCGTCTTGTAGAAGGCTTTGCTCTGCAGCGATAACTTCTCCGACTTGCTGACCATGTCGTCCAACTTCTCGCCCCGCTCCAGCACCGCCTCGATGGTATTCTTCAGGATGATCTTCGTCTCGTCCAGATCGTTTTGCATCTTCGTCAGCGGATCGGCTTCGACGGGATTCTGATAGCGTGCCAGGAACGCTGGCAGCAAGTCGAACGAGATGGTGGCCTCCGTGCCATTGGGCCACTGATCCGCCGACACCTTGGCCGTGAAATCGTCGAGGATCTTTGTGATGAGTGTGTGGGCCACGCGATGCGGATACTCATGATCGGCAATGAGGACACCGGCCAGATTGTCTGCCCGCACATAGACATGACACATGTAGGCGTCCTGTTTGACCGACTGCCTCAGAGCCGGCTGTGTGCGCTCCACGATGGTCTTGGATGCGAAGCTGCAAGGCAGGGAGGGGAGGCAGTGAGGGAGGGGATGTAGTGACTGATTTGATGACGCTTTGAGCCTGCGCCGTCCACATGAATACTCACGTCATGAACTCATTGACGGTGCCACGTTGGAAAAAGGAGAAGGACTGCAGGTCGGCGGCTGTCTTCAGGAGACGCGCCTCGCTGGCGCCCTTGTGGAAGATGCTCAACGCAAACAGCTTGACCATTTTTAATGGGGGGGCTGCCTAGGGTGAATCTGCGGGTTGCGAAAGTGGGCTGCTGTTGCGTTGCTGCTTCTCCTGGGGCTCGAGCTGGATCCTGACTGATCCTGCGTTGCTGCGGCGGGTGGGGTGGCTTTCGTTTCAGTTTCACCGCGCTGGCATTCGTGGAAAAGTGCGACAAGTGAGTTTTGTTCAGCGCAGTAAATTCGTGCTGTTGCCCCGTCTAGTATTGTATATATAGGTGTGTGTGTATGTGAGGGTACAGCGTTGCCAGATGATGACGAAATGGGCTTTTCCCTGAGTGTGCCTGACCAACCCTGATTTCCCTCCAAACAATATTCAACCCAATTTTTAATGCTTCAATTTTTTAGGTAGAATTTTAAATTAAAATGTTATTTAATTAAAAACAAAAGGCTGGGTAATACCTAATTTAACTTTCTTAACAGCCATTTGTACTTTCCCATCGCTAGAAAAATCGATAGCAACTAATCGGCGGTTTCCAATGTAACGGTTTTCTTGGACCAGTTGCAAAATTGTTTTGCGAATTTTCGTTACTAATTTTAATGGCAAAGCGCGTGAAATTCCAGCGCCTGGCGGAGATGCAGCCCACAATGACGCACTTCTCCACGGTGGCGCTGATTGTGTCCAAATCCTCGCCGAACATCTTCTACGACAAAATGAGTGGCACCGAACGAGGAGTCATCACCCTGACCATCCGAGATTCCCCCAATCACCTGACCAATTGCAAATGCTGGGGCCAGCGGGCCTGCGTGGATGAGTACGCGGCCATGTTGCAGATCGGCCATGTGGTGGACATTGTGGGCGCCAAAGTGATGTCCATACCGGATGCTGCGCCCGGCGAGCAGCGTTACCAGCCGCAAGGGACGCTCTCCTGCGCCCTGGTGGTCAACGAAGGAGCCGGCTATGTGGTGCGACACGACAGCGAAGACTCAGCCAACATAATGATCCTTCAGCAGCTGCTCCAACGTCCCATCAGACCCCTCGGCGCGGTCCTCAAGCTATCGGATGTGCGGGCCGGCCTTGGATCACCCGATAAGATGATCTCCTCCTATGTGAATCTGCTGGTGGCCGTGGCAGCAGTGCGTCCAGTGCGTCAGATCAAGCGAAAGCTGTCTGCGGTCCACAGCAAGGTTCAGGAACTATTGCACTGCCTAGAGGTCATTGTGATCGATGCCAGCTATCCGGAGGGCATGCTGCTCTCCGTTTGGCAAGCCGACTGGATACGACGTGCCCAGCAATGGCAGCCACGTCGCACGGTCCTCCATTTGGTCGACGTACGGGTGTCCTTCTCGGACTTCCACCGATGTCCCGTGCTCTCCCATTCGAATTGCACGCTAATTTGCGAATATCCCCAGGCGGCTGGCGAGGATAGCCGCCTGTTGCTGGCCTTCGCCGCCACTGTGCCGCTCAAGAGCTTCGATGGCTGCGCCCAGGCGGAGCTGGACAACCTGCCTGCAGGTAAGAGATCAGTAAGTCATCAGAGATCCTATACTCTCTGGTTAACTTGTAGCCGCCAGCATTCAAGCCCAGATGACGGTCAGACAGATATATACCCGTGCCGAGGGCGACCTGCAGGATGCCTCTAGCAATCAATTTACAGCTGTGCTTTATGGCATGATCACCAAGTTCGACTTGGACGGACTGTCCTCCCACATCAATAGGAAGTGGCAAGTGCTTTGGCTAACAATTTTCTTAAGTTTTTAGTAATAATTTTCAGCTTAGAGTCATTTTATTTAGTCATGATTTGCAAAATCATGATTAAACCCCTTACAAAAAATGCAAAAATTGGTCAAAAAATGAATTTTCCCAAAAATGATGCAGATCGTTAGGACAGGAAGCAAGCTTTTCAAAACAGTCGGTCTTTTAGCTGTACTCCGTTATTTGGCTGAGCTACGATTGAAAAACCGCAAAAAATTGTTCTTTTTTCACTATAATCTGTAATTAAAAAGAACTTGATGATAAACAATGAATATTTTTGACCAACATCTGAATCCCAAAAATAAGCGAGCTATCCCCTTACAAAAAATGAAAAAATTTGTCATAAAATAAACCTTCCTTAAAGTGATGGGGATCGATAGCAATTGAAGCAAGCTGCTCAAAACGGTCGGTATTTTAGCTGTACGCTTTGATTTGGCTAAACTACGACTGAAAACCCACTAAAAAATTACTATTTTTGACCAAAATCTGAATCCCAAAAATAACCGAGCTACCCCCTTACAAAAAATGAAAAAATTTGTCAAAAAATAAATCTTCCTTTAAGTGGTGAGGATCGATAGCAATTAAAGCAACCTGCTCAAAACTGTCGGTCTTTTAGCTGTACGCCTTGATTTGTTTAAACTAGGATGAGAAAACCGCTAAAAATAAGATTATTTTTTCCTGAAATCTGAATCACATTTTTCCGCTCTAAAATATCAGTGTTTTCGTTGGCATAATGCAAATAAAGGTCAGAATGAATTAGGTCATACCTCGTTAAGCTCGTGGTTTAGTTTCCAATCCATTGGCATTTCACATTTTTAACGCAAGAAAAAACAATAAAACAGCTTCTTTCCATTTTAGCACCGCCTGCCAGCGATTCATACCACGAAACCTGGAGGATTGCGCCTGGGACTCCTGTCAGATGGAGTTTTTGCTGGGCAGCGATGCTCCCAGATATACCAGCTACTTCAATATCAACATTCAGTTTTCCGACCAGACGGGCACCCTGGTCGAGACCCGGTTAGCTGGCAAACCGGCGGAACGGATCCTGGGCCTCCAGGCGGAGGAGTTTGAGCGACTGACAGAACGTGACAAAAGCGAGCTGAAGTGGCGATTCCTGCTGAAATACTTTGAGGCAAGATTGCTGGTAAAAAAGCCCACGGGAATGCGAAAAAATCTCGTTGTTGTGGTGGTCGATATGCAGGCCATTCCTCTCCAGAAGCTGGCCGAGAAGGTGACCGTTTTCTAGATGTAAGCCCATTAAAAGACTGGCCAAAAATGTACATAAATAGCGAACTTTATTTCGCATTTTCACATAAAAGTGTACAACTGCAATACATAAATAGATTGAAAGCGCCTAGAAACTTTGCCAGGATGTGGGTGTTAAGTGGGATACGTTTGGCTCACTGGGATGAATCGTCTAAGTGCCATTTTGCCTAGTGCTAAAGTGGGTTTTGGGTTTTTTTTGGGGGTGGTGGGTGTCTACAGGGCGTTTCAGGTCCATAAAACAGTTTTCGGCCCTAGTTTATTCTACTAATTTGGATTTTTGAATCTCATTTTGGTATCAAAATGCAGTTGGATCACTCCAAGTGCTTTGGGATTAATGCTTCTTTAAAGTCCTGACTTACGACTGTTTTATTGTTATCAAACGTACTGTTTAAAGACAGCTTTAGGCAACTATAAGTCATTAAAATACAATTTTTGGTCAGTTGGGGAAAATTTGGAATACAATTTTTAATTAAAGAATAAAAGGTTTGAACAAATAAATAACTAAATTACAAATTCGAAAAGGAATACAACTTTCGCTCAACAGGGAAAAGTATAAACTGAATTATGTGTAAAGGAGCCATAATAAAACTTAAATAATTAAAAACCATACAATCAATATCCTGCCATTCAGCCATAGTTTAACGAATCTGCAAAAGCAACAAGATTGTGACCCCTAGACCTGCCTTATAGCCATGGAACGCACTGTTTAATACACTTACGAGTTTGCCTCCAACTAATCTCACCTGCCTTGTGATCTATAATCTTTTTGTGATGGGGGAGACGGATCTGCAGCTGGAGCGGATTGGGGATCACAAGCACCGACTCACCGCCAGCTGCAGACACAACTTTGGGCTCAATATCTGCTACTATAAACTATAATTAATAATCAATCAAAGCTGAGTGTCACATTTCACTATACGAGTATATAAACAACAATTTGGTACAACGCTTAATACTGACCTATGTACAGACATATACACATAACTAACAAATCTGGCCTACGGGAGGTGATGGACAAACGAATCAACAACAAGGACCGAAATCATATGGATTTTAAGTCTGCATTTTGTACAGGGAATGATACTGGTGTAACTACTGAGTTGTGTTGCCTCCTACTTAACTATTCTTTGTAATCCCTTTCTCCGGCTAAATCAACAATATCCACCGTTCTCAGAAAGAGCGAGACAGAGAGCATTAAACATCAAACATAAAATCAAACGAAAAACATAAATAAAAAAAATAAATGTAAGTTTAAGTTTAAGTTAAAGTTAAGGTAAGGTAAAACGAAGTGGGGCGTCGTCCCTACTTGGAGCTGCCCGCCTGCGAGTGGTGGTGGTGGTGGGATGTAGCGTGGTGGTAGTGCGACTGGTGGTGCGACGCTGCCCCACCACCGCCGGAGCCACTGCCTCCCGCAGCGGATCCGCTCGCCGTCGAGGATCCCTGATGGTTCTGGTGGCCTCCCGCGGACGCACTGTGCCCTCCGCCACTGTGATTCAGCGAGGGCAGCGAAGCGGATGCCGTGGCAGCCACCAATGCCGCTGCAGCAGAGGCAGCTGCCGCTCCAGCGGTGGCCGTATTCAACTTGGTTCCATTGGCATTGTTGACCCGCAGCTGGCGGATCTCGGGAAAGAACTCAATCATGAGTATCTCCAGCAACTCCTGAAGATCATACATTTATAAATATATTTGCTACGAATATGGCATTAGCAACTCACATAGAATAGCTGCTTGTTGTAGGCGGGATTCTGCAGGGCCTCGAACACCTTGAGGACACCTCGCTTGGCCGCCTGGGCCCCAACCAGGTTGCACAGCACCTCCGGTATATGATCGGTGAGCAGCGCCTTGGCCGCCGTGGTGGTCATCTCCCGCATATCCTCCGATCGCGTCGGATAGGCAGAGGCCAGGACGCCGCCCGGCCAAAAGGACTTGAGGATGGCCGAGAAGTAGTTGTGCAGCATTGACTCCTCGAACAGATAGGCCACCGATTCGCGGATCTGCCGATTGATCGTCCGGCCGTATGTGATCTGGACAAAGGAGATGAGACTCTTGCGCAGCCACTTGAACACCCCGCCCATGTCGAAGATCTCGCCCATCAAAGCGTACATCGGTTCCGCTATTGAGTCCTTGCTGTCCAGATCCGCAGCTAGCATTTTGGCCTCACCGCCGGACTCGCCATCCAGATAGTTGGATATGTCTTCGTCGTCGCGCTGCAGCCCCCAAAAGGGATCGGTGGCCTTGCTGGCCTCGTGGGCCTTTCCAGCATCGCTGCGGAAAAGCGTGGCCAGCGAGAACTTGGACTTCTTTGGCGAGGGCAGCGATTGCTTGAGGTGATCCGAGCTGGGACTAAGAAACGTGTAGATGGCCTCGCTGCCATTCAGGTGGTCGTCCTCCAAAATGAACTGATTAGGCGGAATAGCAAATCAATGTAAATTCCTTATTTTAATTTAAATACTCCTGCTTACATTCAAAAACTTCTGAATCTGTGCCTTAGCCTTCTCCTGGCCATGCCTGTCTGCCTTCAGGAAAAAGAACTTGAAATTCGTGGGCAGGTCGATGGCCTTCAGGTTGGAGCTCACGTGCCTCAGTTTCCGCTGTAGCTCCTTTAGAAATAGAGCAAAAAGTTAGTACTGCTCAGAGCAGAGTACCGAAGGAATACCCACATGCACTTGGTTGAGGGAGCGCATTACCACCCAGCCGCTGGAGATGCCCGAGGGTCGCCTGCGCATATGGGCATGGCCGCTGTCGCCGTTCTTGGATGAGGTCGGTTGCTGTGGCGCATTTATGTCTTCGTCCACATGCACCAGGATCATAAACTGCAGCGATTCCTTCTCATCGGAGACCTGCATTATGAAGAAAAAATAAAAGTGTAAGAGTTAAGGGGTTTTTTTGTTTGCTAACACCCCAGTCCGGAGGAGCACTCACCTCCACGCTTTGTATGGTCGCTTTCCACTTGCCCAAATGCTCCGTCCAGGCGTCTGTGCGACGCAAATGCGCCTCCGTCTGGCGCTTCTCGCTCTTCAGCCATTCCATCTCCTTCTCGAGTATGGACAGTACCTTGGACTCCGGCTTCACGGAGTACTTGAGGGCGTCCAGCGCCTGGTTCTTTTTGTCAATGCGTTCCTGTATTTGTTCCAGTTTTCGTCGTGCATACGACGTGTGGGCGGCCACATCGATGGCCCCACCGGCCCCGCCGTTAAGTCCATCCGATACGCCCGGCTGCTCATCCGCCAGCGGCTCCGGGGCATCGCCAATGGTGTGGCACATAAGCAGCGTAGGATCTGCAATCTCATTGGAGTCCAACGCCTCCTTCAGCTGGCGGTATTGATCGCTCAGCACAAATGGCGGATAGTATTTCTCCTCCAGCGTGCGCAATATATTGCGCTGGATGTCATAGAATATATCCGGATCGGCATCGCCCAGCAGGAACGTTTCGATCAGCTTGCGCTCGTGCTTGTCGATGTGAATCTCTGACTTGGGCACCCGGATGTATGTATAGAAGATCTCCGTGCCCAGCTGATGGCTGGCCGACTTGTGCGCGTGCTTGATCTCCTCCACGGCCAAATAGAAACCAATCAGGGCGCTGGCCTTCAGCGGCTCCAGGAACAGGGTGAAGTAGCGACGGCCCACCGCAGTGTTCAGGATCTCAACTAGCGTTAGGTCCTGTAAGAAAATGTAAGATAGTCAGTATTATAGGGATGTAGAGTACCGAAGATCACTTACAATATCGCTTGAGTAGTTGCCATTCCAGCCGAACTTGGCCAGGTTCTTCTCGCACTCGCCCTTGGCCATCGTGAGCTGGCGCACATAGCGCTTCAGCCGGACGGCGGCCGTGAGCTCTGACTTGGAGAGCGAATGGTCCTCGTGATCCGGATCGAGGCCTTTGGCACGCTGCAGATTCTGCATGGTGGTGGCATGCATCAGGTCGTTGACGATGCTCTTGCGGATGAGCGAGAGCTCCTCAAGGTTGCCTGAGTTGTTGATAATCTTGAGAAAGTCCTCGAAGCTGGCTGCGTACTCGTAGCTCCGCTTGCTCATCGCCGCCGCCGCCAAACGAGTCTCGATGTTCTGCACCACCTTTTGGTTAATGTAATCCGGTGCTGTGAGCATTTTGATCATGGGAAAGAATACTACGGGTGGGATGGTTGATAAATGGCTGGATATTATGGTAATCTTGGGTACTACTTACTCTTGTAGGAGAGAATCTCGCTGAGCAGGACTTTCAGTGGGGGCAGGGAGTAGCCGCGGGGCAGCAGCAGGATCACCATAATCTCACACAGCTTGCGCAGGAACTCCATCTCCTTCTCTTCATCGGCGAGGTACGGGTTGGTACTGAAAACCGGAGGCGAGTTTGTTTCAGCTCTGGAAAAGTCAATATAATTATAATTAATAAAAAGGCTATCAGAATTAATACCCTATACATTATAACCCTATTATTAAATACCCTTATTTTTAGTTTTATCCAAAGTGCTACAATCGTTAAACAACAGAACTCAACAGTAATCACAGGTATTGCCTTTGAGCTTATTAATTACCAACTTAATGATTTGCGATTGATGACTACTCGCTGACGCATATAAATTACATTTAATTCTGGACACTGCATTCTTCCATGATTTGGAAAAACACAAAGATATAAAACAAAAAAACTAATTGCAAATGATATCTTATTATATCTTGTCAATAATTTGAATTGGATTTCTTTGTTTTAAGCATGATTAAAAAAAAGAGTTATTACTAATCTCACCATATCATGAGATATTTTTATATAAATAATTTCGACATATAGTTAGGGTAGGACAGTTTATTTTTAACCATTCCTACTTATATACTCAAACTAATAAATGATTATTAAGGGTAGCACTCACGCTCTGGCCTCCGCAATGCGAATCTTCTCCAGATGCACCGTCACTCGGTTGACCATGTCCACGGCTATGATTTTGGCAGCGTCCATTCGCGTGGCCCGCTCATGGATCTTCTGTATGGCGTTCCACAGATCCTCGCGCACCACATCGTTGATCAGCTTGGGCTTGGTAACCACATAACTAAGACATAAGGGAACCATTAGCGAAGGTTTTACTGGGTCAACTAATGAACTCACCCCAACCATGGCAACATAAAGTCCCGTAGAACATATTCAATGATCTGCTGAAGCTGCAGGTCCACTGTTTTGCCGAAAATCAAGGGCAGATTCGAGGGATTCTTAATGGGTTTGGGCAGATCGAAGATGTTGCTTCTGAGGGTGAAAAGAGATAGGTATGGAGATGGAGATAGAGATATAGGGGGTACATATCATATAGAGCAAAGTCCGGAACTCACTTGGTGGCATTGTAGAGCAGTCGCGAGGGCACGCGACTTGGTGGCGTCGGCTCGTTGGTGGTGAATATATAATGAATATAGACGGTGCCGGCCACAGCTGTCGGCGAGTGATAAGGGCCATTAGATATTTGGCAATTTTAATTAGCCCCTTCGCTCGGGCAACTGATTGCCCGATAAGGTGACTCATTCCCCCCAAAATCATTCCATTCCAATGCTACGCCCTGGAATCGAGGCGGAAGACTTACCCGCAAAGACCAAGACCAGAGAATAGACCACGAAGGCGAAGAACAGAAAGAAGGTGGGATAATACCAGATGACGGCCAGCAGTGTCAGTGTGATGCCCGAGACGATAATCCTCCAGTTAAGTTGCAAAGCACGTAGCAGTCTGTAAGGGATATTTGGTTATATCAATTGGGTTATCAAAGGGATCTATGGATGGGATAGATGGTTACTGTACCTGGTGGCCAGGAGCGTCAGGCGCTGCGTGGCCGTTACGGATGGCTCCGGTTCGATGGGAAACAGCGGCAGGCGGCGATTCTCCATGGTGTCCACTGCGCACTCCTCCGATTCCATCGGCCAATTGACTCCGGACTTCCGAATCACTGCCTCAGCTTATTGGCTGCTTGTCTTCTGAATATTTGATGAGTTTCGTACATTTTCGACCCGCTGCTGACCATTAAAAATAGTTCTCAGCAATTGCGTCAATTCCGCTTTGCTCTGGTGTCCACCTCCTCCTCCTCCTCCGCCTTATCCACGGCCGCCTTCTCCTCCTCCTCCGCTTCTCTTCGCCACCTCCGCCTCCGCGAATGAAAAACGAACACAAATATGGTATCGTATGGTGTATCGGTTTTTGGAGAAGCGTCGTATCGTATATAGAATATATGATATGGGGGGCAGAGGCAGAGGCTGAAATTCACGGGCACGGGAACGGGAACGGGCTAAAGTGGAGACAGCTGGCTGGGAATCGGAACCCGAATCACAACTGTCTGCTATATGTGCTAAATCAATACTGGGCGACGCAGCGGATCCGCAACAAGTTGATTGGATTGGCCAGCTTTATCCGGAGCGGAGTTTCATTTTTCATTTCAATTCGATTCGTTTCGTTTCATTTCCGAGGAAGGAAATCAAAACAACTCGACTCTGATTACTGATTACACACTCTCCTCCGATTTTGGTTGTTGTTGCTGCTGGCGCTGCTGCTGCGCAGTTGGGATCGGTTCTTGGGCTTGGGCTTATCGCGGCGGCCCTGATAACACGTCACAAGTCCGCTTTCACGCCCGGCTATCCACTATCTTTACTGTTATGTTTATGATTTTCGCCAATATATATACACCTCCCTCCCATATCGTCGATAGACCGAAGGGCCCGCCTATCGGTGGCCCAGCGATAGTTCCTGCCGTCATCGAGAGTGCCGCTATCGATTTGCATTCGAATTCGAATTCAAATTGGAATTCAAATAATCAAATGAGGAAGGAAAAATTGATAGAAAATTTAATCATTTAAAAGTGAAAAATAAAAATAACACAAGTATAATTAAAATAAAACATTTATTTATGATGGAAATTAAATAACGAATGATTTAAAAAAAAAAATCTATGTTCAAGTACTAAACTAGGATAATTTAAAAAACACTTCGGAAGAAAAAGAACAACGATATTCTAAGATACAAAATTAAAACCAACTTTAAGTCAATAACTAAAATATGAAAATAGTTTAAAATAGAAAAAAAAATGTCGCCATTATCAAGTGTGTTCTAAAATGTAAATAAAATACACGTTTCTAATACCAAAAGAATATCAATACAAAAAATGTCCCTGAATATATGAACACTGTTAAAAAAAAATCAAAATATTCAAATTAAAAAATAGAATAGAAAAATCTTAACAAATGACCTTTGTAGGGCTGTAAATAAAAAGCATTGTTTGTCATTAGAAACTAGATATATTTATCTAGTCACTTTGTGTTTGCACACATGGTTTTATTGTTTACATGACATGGCTGTTTGCGAATCTCCAATGTTATTCAATGACAAAAACTAACTAGTCTTAGTTTATTCGGGAAACATTTTTGGTATTTCAAGCTTTCTGTTTGTTGATTCATATGACGCGCGGTGATTTCGTAAGCTACATGACTAGCCGGATTTTCCCCACAACCCAACTGGCGCTCCACCCCAACCGACTCCCAATAAATGCCTCATCCGCCTCATCCTTCTCAGCTCCACCTCTCCTACTGCTCCTTGGCCAGACGGCGCAGGGCCCGCTTCCGGGTGCCCAGGATGTTCTTGAGGACCACGCTGCGGGCAAACTGCTCGCCAAACACGGCCTCCGTGAAGTGAATGACCAGCTGGAGCAGGGCATGTGGCAGATAGCCCGCCGTCTGGGTGGCAATTCCCAGGGTCGACAGAGCCGAGCGCACATAGGTCTCCGGCGAGGGAGCGAACACGCTGGCCTTGCGGATCTTCGACATGTTGGTGGCCACGAAGCCCGGCTGGACGCTCTGGATGAGGATGCCGTGCTCCTTGTACTCCGTCTGCAGGTCGTCGCTGAATTTGTTGACAAAGGCCTGCAGAAATCAAGGGGAATAAATAAAAATTTCAATGTAAAAAGGGCTTTCACCTCACCTTAGTGGAACTGTACACGCTCAGCAGAGGATTGGGAATGACTCCGGCGGTGGACGACAGGTTGATAATTACTCCGCGACGCTGGGTAATCATGCCAGGCAGGAAGAGGGCGGTCATGTGGGTCACCGAGTGAATATTGGCGGCCACAATGTTGCGAAGGAACTTGGGATCGGCCTTGTAGCAGTCCAGAAAGTACTCCGGATGGCTGTAGCTGATGCCCACATTGTTGACCAGCACACCGATATTCAGGCCAGTGGTTTTTTCGCGGATCTTGTCGTAGATCTCGGCGCCACCGGTGAAGTCCACATCGATCACGCGCACCTCCACGCCGTACTTATCCCCTGAAAGTATGCAGGTTTTAAACTAGTTAGAGTCGATCGTTGACTGTCTTTGTTGAGTGGACTTACCTATCTCCTTGGCCACCACATTCAGTTTTTCCAGGGATCTGCTGATCAGCACCAGTTTCAGTCCCCTGCGAGCCAGCTAAAATGGGTTTTATAAATATTACTAAAATATTTAGAACATTTTTTTATTATACATTGAATTTTTAGTGGTAAAGTTTAATATAGAAGGGTATAGTTTTGAATTTTGGATTCATTTCAACAGATATTACTATTTGAATAAGTACAAAGAGTGTGTAGAGATAAAGCTTCCTTCCAAATTGAAGAATTGGATATAAACATTAGTCAAAATATGCCTGATTATATTTACCGACTTTTGAAAACCTTATTCTTGTATCAGAACTAAGATAAACAAGCCCCGAACTTTGCTTGTTCGACATAAATACAAATGTTATTAAAACAAATAATGTTCCTAATGAAGAATGGGGGCTTTAAATTCTGATAACCCGGTAAAGCGAAGAACAGGAAATACTGTCAATGTGAAATAAAAGAAATACGTGAATAAATAGGTATTTGGAGTGGACATTGAACCATTTTCTGTGCGTTCGACGCACATCGAATGCTAATTTGGCAGAAGCTTCGGGCGGGGCCCTGTACTCCACCCTATATGGGTATATATAGGTATAGTAAATAGCCACTCGGGCAACACGTGTTCTCTATGGGTTCTAGCTTTGAATGTCCCAAGTGGGTATTACAAAATGAAACCGGGAACCGCCCGTCTTCCAAAAAAAAAACACTGCGACTGCACTTTGTAAAAATAAATAACAAAAGGTACAAGTGTGAAGGCTGCACACGTAGTAATTTTCAGCCAAGCAAACACTATTAGGGAATGTTTGCGACTAAACTGGAGACTGGAGATCGATTTCAAAGTGCAGATTCACTTGGCTAATGCATCGGCGACCGCAAAACCAATGTCCAAGTCATTGTGGGCGACACTCAATTCGGTAATTAGTAATTTCTAATTGCTCATTTTTAGATTTTTGCATTTGACCCGCTTCCCGTTAGCAATAGTCATCAGTGGGACTTGGAAGAACTTGGCTTGCTGGTCAAGATTGGGTCAACGCGAAATCGTTTACATACCTCCTTGGCGTAGGCCTTGCCAATTCCATCGGTCGAGCCGGTGACAACTGCAAATTATACAAGTTAGCCAAAAGTTCTACGGGTTATCGGTGGACTTAATGGGGCGTGGGGAACGTTCTTATCGCTCACAGTGAAAAAATCTGACCAAACCAGGTATTCCATAGGAAATAAAGAAATATTTCTAATAAATCAAATATTATACATACATATTCTGGAATTTATAAAAATTTGAAGCAGGTTTTAGGCTTCTAACATATTATTTTAGGAAAATTTGTTTTATTCGGAATATTAAGAAAATATTCAAGAAATATCTCAAAACCACCAATCAAATTATTGGAAATTTAATTAAAATGCTTAAGTTTTTAAAGATCTCCTTTTTAAGGGTTTATATTTGTGTATAAGGTTTGTAACCCTTGTTTTCAGAAAACGTAAAGGGTTACGACCTTTATGCACATATGTATGTATGTATATGAAACTATTTATATTTTATTATGGATACCAAATAAACTTTTGATAGCTGTACCTTTTTTTTCACTGTGCACTCGAACTGCCCTCGTTTACCATTCCTTTCCGGCAATTTTTTTCGTAGCAACCGACTTACCTGCCCATTCGCCCATTTTGGAAAGATCCACCGAGGAGCCAAAGACCTTGGGACCCACGACATTGGCGTAAATCCAGGGCAGGACCTTCCGGAAGACCTGGAAGCCCACGATACCGATGGCCAGACCGCCCAGCAGGCTGAGAACTCGGGAGTTATTCTCCTCCATGTCAATTGGTATTATTTCCTGGTATTATACTCCGCGATTTGGGATCGGACGACTGCTATAGCCTCTGCCGGCTGATTAGTTTCTGATTCTCCGATTTTTGAGCTGCAATGCCGAAATGGAAGTGCTGACGCCGCTGCTTTTTCGCCGCTGCCGACTGCGCTGCCCTCTGTCGCCGTATCGTATCGTAGTAATTCCACACCACAACCACACACACCCTTCGAAATCGGCAGTGATTTTCGATTACTCGGTTTTCGTATTCGCCTGATTTAATATTCAAAGTGCGTTTTCTTCGAAAGGTGAAAAAGAAGGCAAAAGGAGAAAATGAAAACAAATGGAAAAAGCGATTGAGAATGTCAATTGTCAGCGGCAAGAATGCGAATGAACGGTTCTTTTCCGCATCCATGTGCCCCCATCAGGGGTGTGTGTGTGCACACTTATGTCATTTCATATCGCGAGGCACTCACACCACCAAAAACCAAAGATAAGGGCGGCTGTAAACACTGCTCGTCAAAATTAATCACACCAAGAACCGTTATGTTCAACACTGATTTAAAAATGGGGATGAAAACTAAATCGTCCACTATTGAAAGAAATTTTTATGCTTGCGTGTTCTATAACCCTACACATTATACTTACATATTTTGAAAATATTGCTTAAAGATAAAAGCTCCACTGTGTTAAAAAAGTTAAAAAAAATATTTAAAGCCCAGTTAAAAAACTATATTTATAAATTCTAATTAAATCGGAAGGCACAATGTTTATATAAATATTCTTTCCTTTTTTTTAAGAAACTTAAAATTGATATAAATATATTTTGGAGCTTTCTAATTTAAAATTTAAAATAGTCAAGTAAAACCTCAATAAATTATTTTTCGAAAGCTTTAATACCTAAGAATTCGCGCAATAAATAAAAGATATGCACTTATTATACGCCGCCAGTGTAAGTTCTATGCTCTCACCCATACACATAAAGCTGTGGCAACCACCGAATTAGTTTTACGGTTTTACTGCACATGCGCAGGAAGCATAAATAAGTGCCATAAACAATTTAATTTGAACTACATACATATGCGCATATGTATGGATTTAGTGGCTGGACAATTAGTCATTTAAATTCCTGATAAAGTGAGTAACGACTGTTATGTTAACGGTAAATTAATGACAAAGCGAGATGGCAATAGAGACTGTGTTGTGCGAGGATAATCCTTTGCCTATCGATAACTATCGAGTTTCTATCGGTTTTTGAATTTTGAGTTTATTCTAAATAATAAAAAAGATAACTTGGCTGAATTTTTAGACTGGACGCGTAATACATTTTTATATCAATTTTATTTATACTCTTAGATCTTGTTTACATACTTTTTAAGGACTTGCAGATTTGTGGAACCCTGTTTACTGAGTGGAAATCTCTAGATTCCGAAGTTGGCGAGAGAGATGCTGGACTTTTGGAGCGAACTCAGTGCCGCAGCAATTGTGGGTGAGGGAACAACAACG